GCGTGTGAAATAAAACTATTGATTTTTTGTATTTACTTGAAATTTGATTGGTCAGTGAAATTCAAATAATTCAAATCGATCAAATCAAATCAAATATTTGATAATCAAATTCAAATCAAATAATTATTTAATTTGAATTTGATCAAATCAAATTTAGTTCGATTTGAATTTGATTTGAGATAAAATATTTGATCAAATCAAATCAAATCAAATCAAATTGCAGAACCCCAGTAGATATTCTTCTATATAATTTAACATTTGAAGCATCAATTTATATAATAAATTTTTGTCGATGTCTATTTTTTGAAATGCTGTATATGATTAAATATGATCTAAAATTAGAATTTGATTATTTGGTTATCGATTACTACTGCAGAGTTATAGAAAAGGACTTGTATAATTGGCTAGCAAATAGTGATCAAACAGATTATACTAATAATAGATTGTCATTGTTATTGTTATACCAAATTTTAAATGTGATTTTCTCAAAATAGAAAAAAAGCCATAAGCCTTGTTTTAATTAACACAGCCCAATTTAGCTAACTTATACCTAACCTAGGTATAACTTGCTATTCAATGATAGCTTTTGTAACATCCTTAGAGTAACCTAACAGAGTAATTCATATCTCACATATGTATTCACTTGCATGTTCAGTAACTTCTTCCTAACTACAGTTAGACCTCTTTAAATGTAACCTCTATAAATGCAATATCTCTCTAAATGCATAGTTTTGCTGTGGCTTTACTATATATACACTTATAAATTTTTACTTCTCTAAGTGCAATACCTCTCTAAATGCAAGATTTTTTATGATTTGTATGCAATATACTTATAGAGGGTTAACTATAGTATCTGTTGTACTACCGTTACCAAGTTTGTATCTCAAGCTATCTTTTAGAATGCTGCCATAATCTGATCTGTCAATCTTTCTAATTAGTTATCTATTACTTACTTCTTACTCTTATAAGGTTTATAACAATCTTGATACCTATATTTGGACTATCTTTTTATCTTGATTTTTTTTTGATCTCTTTCTTACTTCTAGCTAGCAACCCAAAGAGAATAGTCTGCTCAGGCTTTAAGTAGTTCATGGTCTTCTTTCTCTTGGCCTATACTTTTAGAGTATATATATTTTTTTTTTGCTATATCTAGTACTCAGCAGTTCAACTAGTATATTTCTCTACTTAAGAATCTAGTTATTTGGTTTTCTAATCTTGGTTTCCAGTTTGAATTCAGCCTTTCCATGGCACTGTTAAAGATCATTGCTACTCCTAACTTGGAACTTTCTAAATAGGTTTTTAGCTATTCTAGTCTTCCAGATTTATTTGTATACCAAGGCTTCTACTCTAAATAGTATTACCAAGATTATAGATTTCTAAATCTAATCAATAATTAATAGCTATTAGCTGTATCACAGGCCTATTTTTCAAAATTATTGTCTATGAGATTCAAACTCTAGATCTACCACTTGGAGAATATGATGACTAGATTACTACACTAAGTCACCACACCTCTAAACTATAGGTTTGTATTTACAGTATATTAAATCTATATTATGTTATATAAAACTCCTTTATTTTAAAACTGCAATCCAACCCTAAAAATTCTTAGGCTAGTAAATTTTACCTCTGGTTAAATCTAAATTATATTTTTAAAAATAATTTTTTAAAAATTAAAAGGTTTTTATTAAATAAAATTTTTGTTATTTATAATTTAGTAATTTTTTTTAATATTTTTAACAAAAATAAACAAAAAAGAATTTAATTCCAATTTTTAAACCTAGAACAGTACTATAAATTAACTAATTTTATTTTGGCAAAAATTTTGACACCCTTTCTCTTTTAGTCAGATCTTTATTATAATTTTCACTTTTTTTGCCCCCAGAAAATTAGCTGATTCCTGGCACTCTCCTTACTAATATAATTTTTATTAAGACAGCTAACTTTTAAATATATCTAAATAAAATATAATTATATAATTATATATTAGATAAATTTAATTTAGTTAATAATAATAAATTTTTTTTACAATTTAATTTTTAAAACTGTACTAAATTTAAGATTTTGTACTAAATTAGTACACCTTACGGACACCTATTAAGATAAATAACTAACTAAATTAATTAATTTTAAAAGATGTTAAAATATTTTAATTTAAAGTTGGCAAAATTTAGAAAAAATTTGTTTCTTTTTTATTAATTCATCCAAATTCTAATTATAACCGAGAGTATCTCACCTAACCACTCTAATCCTCTCGAGTATAATTAGAAATTTTCTTTGAAAATTAATATCACAGTTTGTTATCATAATAGAAAAATAAAAAAATTATTTTTATAAATATATACTATATGGGGTCTTTGCCTTGAAAATCAGGTATGGGACATATGATTTACTATATTCCGTAACTCGATTTTCAAGGCAAAGACCCCATATATATAATAAGTATTCCCCTTACTTATATTATGATGCAATTTTTCACTAAGTTAACTTTCTAATTAAAGTTATGTACAGTATATATATGTTTTTTTATGGTTCTACTAATTGTAAAACCATTAAAAATTTGACCGTGCAAAATATATATTTGCATATTGGTTCTACAACATTGGCCAAAATTATTAAATAACACTAATACAGGCCGAATTAAACGATTAAACAATTTTTAACCTCCTATGCCCATCTTTTTGACCAATTACCAGGCTATGCAAAGAAATTTTCAACACAGTTTACTTTTTCGCAAACCTTTAAAAGGATTTTTTATTTATTGTCTAAATATACATATGAAACACAAATAATAAATACAAGAGAAATGTCTTAATTACGTGTCATTATAACAGGTGTAAAAGTCATATCGCTGTGGTTTATGATGCCACCAAATCAGATTTAAAAACTTCTAATTGAGACGAATGTTGCTTACATAACGACTATAGAAATTCTATAAATCCAAAGTATATTAGAAAACACGTAACATTATGATGTTCAACGCGCAACCTGATGAAATGCGATGTCAATTATGTGGATGCATTTACCGAACTTATTGTTCTAAATATAATGAAGTTGTACCAATTTCAGAATTTCTACAAGGATACCTATTTTAAATTATATATATGAGCTAGGCTCTAGAAAAAGGGACCAAATTGACAATTTTTTCAAAAGAGATTTTTTTACATAAATCAATTTAGAATAAGACACAAAAGTAGTTGTATAATAAAACTTTTCAGTATAGCTCTTTAAAGTTTGCATTTTCTTATTTATTATAAGATTTATAACATAATTGATTTTCCGAAGATCAATTTGGTCACTTTTCTCAGCACCTAGCCTATATTATGTTCTTATTCGTGTTGATGCGCTATTTGGAATGGTTTAAGTGCAAGTTTTGCTTTATATATCTATTGTGTTTTATCAAAACGTAAAAACAAACATGCAAGCACATTAGTTGTAATAAATTGATGATAAAAAAAGCATAAATATATAAAATGCATACCCGTTGTGCTAATCTTCCTACATTTGCATCAACACTAACAACTTCCCATGCAAAATCTACACCAAACATCATCTTAATTCCATATACAATACGTTTGGCGTGGATTTCCTTCATGAGTATGTAATCATCACTTGTAGTACGTGGAATTTTATTCTCAGAGAATTCATCGTTTGCAATATGTATACTATCAGAATCAAGAAGAACCCTTTGTACTAATGAGAGAACTGTTTGTTCGATAACATGAAGATCATCTGATGTGCAATTCGCTTATAATAATTTCATATAAAAAGAATGAAAATTTAAAATGTTGTAGACAAATAAACAAATCTGAATGTTGTTAATATTATAAATTTCAAACTTACCAACAATTTCGAATGGCTGGGAAATGGCCATGACATCATATCTGTTATCATGATGATACCTAAACTCGTAGGTACCCACTTCCCATGGTAAAAGATCACCTTTAAACCACGCTTCACCACTATCAACAAATTCATTATCATCACTATCATCATCATAACTAGTTGCGGTCGAATGGAGATTTGATTCTCCATCCTCTTCCTCAGATGACACGTAAACAAATCGTCCTCTACTTGAAACGGCTGTAACTGCTTGAGACGAATTGGAAGTGACCTTATATACTCCAATCCAATCTCGGTGTGAATGACTTTTGGGTGCCGTCCATGATATATGTATTGGTTTTCCAAGCTCAAATACTATTGGTTTCGCTTTTCGATTATCATCTGCCATATCTTCCGGAAGTGAGATCGCAATTGAGTAATGTTTAAGATTATTACCCTTATTAATTTGACTAAGTAAATTAGAAATATATAAATGAATATGCAGAGACTATAAAAAATTTTTTTTGACTTATAGATAAAAAGGACCTGTACCTAAGCATAAATCTATTCCTCGAAACCCTAAATATCTTAAGCACAGATACAACTTCATTCAGTTTCGGTTTACCTGCTTGCACAAATACACCAGCAACTTCAGCTGTTTCTTTCATAATCTTTTCAGCAACTTCTTTAACGATTCGTTCAACCGCCTGAATCTCATGAACAACATCCTCACCAAATTTCCCTTGAAGAAATTTGGCACGCTTTATTGTCTTAATGACACCGGCTTCTTTACGAATCTTGTCACCATATAATTTTTTCATATGCGGACTCTCAACATATCGCAAGAACAAAAGGTTTGAAATTTGAGCAAATAACGCCAAGCCAAAAATAAGCCAACTATTTGCCATAAGAGTGATACCCCAAAATGCAGCTTGACCCATAAGTTTCTCAGGATTGTTAAAGAATCGATAAATACCATTGTAATATAATGTTGTCGGATAATTATCAAGGAAAAAGTCACCATAGAACCAACCGAAATCACCAAGAACTTCAAACACGGAAACTGATGCCCATATATGTAAAGCTATCAATAATACACCGAAAACATGGCGCAATAATACCATACCATAGGTCCAATCTTCAGGAAAGTAATACATTTTCCAAGCAGCAGAAATAAACGTTACATACGTCATGCATAAAGAAAGATTATATGTGCTGAGAATTAAACAAAAAAATATTAAAGATAAGTAATTCGAATAACGGAAGTTATTAATTGGTATGAACATAAAGCACACACACCTCTTCCAATTATCAAATGCATCACCTACAGTACCACCAAATTTAATATAATGTTTTGTCAAAAGTTTTTCTTTGCTCTGATAAAATAAAACAACACCTAATATGTACGAATGAAATATCCTCCATACAACACATTGAGTGATAAAGAAAAGTTTAACAAAGTTATCAGAAACGCCGACAATAAACAATGGGATAACAGTAGTATAGAATATAATAATGGCAACAAAAAGATCATTTGAACGTAAAAGGTCAAAATTCTTAAAAACTATAAGATCACGAAAGTGATAGTTTAATGTAGGGGATAAATCTGGAGCAGAAGATTTGATGGACTCATTTGAAGATATTTGTGAATGAGTATTTGGTATGATTTGGTTTGAAAGTTTAGCATTAAGAGGCGTTGGTGGATTATATATTTTGTCAATATCTGAGTACAAATGAGAAAATAGAAACTATATGAATTAAATCGGAACAAGTCAGATATATATATATTTTATTTTACTTACGAGGATTTTCAACTAATGATAAAAAGGCTAATTGTGAAGCATGAGCTACCAAGCTTACGAATAACACAGTATAGCTAGCCATCATCAAAGATATGCCATAATAACCTATATATCCAACTGAATACATTGGATGTGGTGCCAATTCAAATACACCCTCAAATGTTAGTGATTGATCAACAAGGAAGAAAAAGTCACCCCAATCTATAATGTACACAAATTATGATTAATCGAAAAATATATATATTTTTTTTAAAAAAAGTGAACCTAAAAACACTCACACCAAGCGTAATCTTTGACAACACGATGTGCATCTCTTTTCACCCAAATATTGAACCATAACAAGAATAGACCACCAACCCAACGCAGGATATTCATAATGATGCCAGAACTTTCAGGAATATTAAAATTAGCAAGTGCAAAGCAAATATATGTGGTGAAATCATTCAAAAGAATAAGATCAACTAGTTGACGGAAGAGCAGCCATGTGTTAAACTCTAAAGGAACATCCTATATACAATAAAGTCAAAAAAATATCATTAGTAAAATTGAGTTTAGTATTAAAAAATATATATATGCTAAACAGCTGAAAAAAAATTTTTTACATCAAAATTATAATCATCACCCATTTTAACACTCAATTCCTCTTTAAAAAACTTATACAACTTGCCACCCTCTTTTTTATTAAAGATCTTTAAACGTTTGACCCACGATACTAATACATGTTTATCACTTTGATATTTCAGTAACATGCCTAGTCCAACATTGTACGCAGTTCTCCAGAGTCCGAAAAGAAATAAGAAAGCCCATTGTTTGATATGTGATGGAAGAACAAAAAATAACACGATCTGAAAACCCATGATTGCCAGGATTATTACATCGAACGCGGATTTTTTAGAATTAGGTTCGAAAACAGAGGTTAACATGTCAGCGGTTTGCGGTACTTTGAAAACTGTAAGTAGTAATATATTTTAGAAATAATAATGATGAAAATGATGAAACAATGGGCGCACACAAGAGGGATAATTTTAAATTAAAGTATCTGCTCTAAATCTATAATTTATGCGATTATAAAATGCTGTAACGCGTATCAAAAATCGCACGATTCAACATAATTTATATTTAAACTTGAATTTTTTTATATACAATACCTTCACCACTTGGCGTCTTTCCATTGACAACATTTTTCTTTTTAATATCATCATTTTTTAAAATGTGTTGATTGTCTTTTGCATTTACTACTAAATCATCAACTGTTTTCTCAGTATCAGAACTCATTATATTACAAAGTTGTGATTTTTTTAATGTCAAAAATTTTATATGATCCAATTGCTTATTGTTGGATCGTAGAAAAAAAATGGCCGCGCTTTTTAATTATTTTTTTGACCGTGAGGACATGTGATATTTCACAACATGACAAAACCGGAGTTTTATCATCGTACAACAGTTTTCTGTTAGCCCAGTTATCCTATTATGACATTCAGAGAAAATCTTCTCATGTAAATCATAGGCAAAACAACCACTTCAACATTTCTTAATAGACCATTAGCGTTACAAAGTACCAAATTAATGTGTAACTATTTGCTTTTAGAATAGTGTCGTGACTCTAAAATAAGAAAGTCTTGTGATTATACAGACGTTACAGAAAAACGAATGCACTGCACCAATTACTTTGATATTGTTTTATTTTTCTATAACAATATATTTGATTTGCATTCATGTGAATCATGAGAAAGCATAAATCTATATGGTTATACGCCAATACATAGGAAAAAGAGATTTTATTCTTCTGCATTATTTTTTTCTGTGTATTGTTACGAAATATTTGGTGTACAAAAAAAAAAAAAGTATATTTATTATGGTTTACTAAATGGGAACTTAAAAGGGGATGTGTGCTACTTACATCGCATACGTATACGTATTACTATCGCTTTTTTGATATTATTATACCGGTGCTAATAAATTCATATCTTGCAAATGAAAACCCAAAAAATCGACGATACTTGCTAAATTCTTTCATTCTGTTTGTTAGATACTAATTGTTATGTTATAAATGGCTAGTTTTTTTTTATATAAATTGTAATTAATTAAAAAAGTACTCAAAATAAATATATCACAAAATTAAGCTTATAAGATCTCCCTAAATGCACCCCCGAGTAGAAAAAAAAAAGCAAAACGTGCACTTAAAAGAGTGCATTTATAGAGAGCAAAATATATAAGTTGGGACCATACATTTGAAAGAATTTACAAAGGCGTGCGCTTAGAGAGGTCATACTGTATACAGAATCTTGACTTTTTTTTTTAATAATCTTGATTTTATGCACGCGAATATGTTGATATCTTTTGGGCCTTACAAAAAAACTTTTTGCAAAAATTTTACAGTCAAACTCTCTATAATCACACCCACGGGATACAAAAAAGCGTGATTATAGAGAAGTGTGCTAATTATAGAGGTCAAATTTATTATATTTAATAATAAATAGTTTTTAAAAAGCTTATCCTTTAAGCCGTCATAAGTTAGCGGGCAAATTTGGCTGTTAAAATTGTTATATTTGATCAATTTTTGTTAAAATTTAAAATATTTAAAAAATTTTTATATAATTATATTTAAAAATAAGGATTATAAAATAGTAATATTTATTTTAAAATTATAAAAAAAAAAATAATGTTGTTTATATAGTAAAAATTTTAAAAATCAATTTTTTTTTAGAAAAAACCAAAATTTTATTTTTACTCATTAATAAACTTTTTAAAATTCTAAGAATAAGTATATTATAATTTTGATACAAATTGTAGAATTTGGTTTAAAAAACAATTTTAATTAAAAAATTTTTATAATTTTATAAATAAAATTTTAACTTTATAAAGAGTAAAAAAGTTTTTCTCTTTAAAAATATATAAAAATTTGAATTTTTTAAAATTTTTTTTATAATAAAATTTTAGAATTGACTAAATTTAAATTAATTATTTTTAATAATTTTAAATTTAAATTATAATCTTTATAAATAATAAATATTTCAAATTTTTATTTTAGCTTAAAATAGAGAGCATATTCTTAATAAAATTTTAAATAATTATAAAAAATTAAAATAGAGAATTGCTATTTGTACACTAGTGTATACACACGGGGTATTGTTATTACCCAAAATTTCTTAAAATTTTGCTTATGAAACTACTTTGAAGGTTCTAACAAAAAATAATCTACACAAAATTTTAGTATAAAATACTCTCTAACCCTAACCCTAACTCTAACCCTAACTTCTAACTCTAACTCTAACCCTAATATTAAGTAGTTTTTTTTTATAAATTTATATGTTACATGGATTTGCAAATCAATAAATTAATACCCGTGTGTACACACTAGTGTAATTTTAGAAATTCTCTAAAAAAAAATAACAAAAAATTTTTATTAAGGTAAAAGCGGCTAACCATAATAATATAAACTCTGATTATAAAAACAATTCATTCTTAATTAATTTAATTACTGAAAATTTGAGAGTTGGAGAAATTAGATATTCTGCCTTGCCAATAGAATATTTACCTACTTCAGAAGAAGGCATTGCAATTATATTCAATACAGAATCTTGGGAATCATATAATGCTTTTTTTGATAATATACTATTAAGTATAAATTATTTATAATAAATTTGCATAACTATATTTTATATTTAATAAATATTTTAATTCTAGATGCAATATCAAAGAGGCCATCCTAGTGGTGGCAGTAATACAAAAGTATGGTATACTTTTTTAGACTGTGATGTACATAAATATTATCAAACTTGTCAAGGTATAAAATGATGTGAATTTGCATGCACTAAAATTCAAAATAATTCACACAAAGAAGTCAATATGGATACTGATTTTTATCAAGAAAATACAATATTAAATAATCAAAAATCTATAGAAATGCAAATATATATGTAAGTATTTATAATTTGGTTTAATTAAAATTTTGTTTTAATATTTGATTTATTTAATATTAATTAATAATTTATATTTAGTAAATATCTTGCTATTATCGAAATAAAATGCCCTTTTAATAATAGTAATTGTAAAGACAATTTTGTTATACAAAAATGCAATAAACATGATAATCAGGCTTCTGAAAGCTAGTTTATTGGATGTAGCCGTTGGTGGGATAAAAATGATAGTGGAAGTTATTTTTTCACAAATTAAAAAATAATATTGATATAAACTTGTTAAAGCAATTATTTAATAGGGAAACTGTAAGTATATTAATTTATTTATAATATATTTTTAATAATTATTTAATATTTATTATAAATTATTGTTGCAGCTAATGTTGAAAATGGCTGATGCTAAATTTTTTTCATATTTTATTATAAAATTATAAAAAAATTTTGGGCCTTTTTTTTACACTTTTTTTTCATAGTTAGGTTAGAGTTAGTAGGGTAGTTTTATTAATAAAAAAGTATATATGGATTTTAATAGATATTATAGATTTAAATAGAGACCCCAAATTTCAGTATCAGCTGTTTTCAGCATCAGCTACAATGATCCATCTTACAGATTTATTGCTTTTAGTTTAAGCTACAATTCTGTAAGACAAATTTTTATTTTCATTATAAATTTAAAAAGTTATTAGAGCCTAAAGTTTATATATAATAAAAAATTTGGCATTTAATATATAAAAAAATTGTTTTCATAGATTTTTAACTAATCAGAGGCTTGTTATACAAGAAAATAGCCAATCAGATTTGAGTATAAATCTCAAAATTTGGTGCTTTTAAAAAAAATTAGATGTTTCTTGCTGTCTGGTACTGTATAACTATCAAATTACTTATACTTGTAATCTTTTAAAATCCAAATATGCATATTTAATATTAGATAAAATAGATTATAGATTAGTAAATATTTCAAGACATTCTGGATTAAAAATAAAATACAAACTGCTAATATAGCAAATAAATATTGTAATCTTATAAAAATTATAATATTTGTTTTAGATAATTTGATAAAAAATAAGAATTTAAACAATATATATATTATAAGTAGATATGAAGAGTTTAGTGAAAAAGATTTAAAAAATTTTGAGGCAATTTTATTATTTAATATTAATTGGTAATCCACCAGTCAACTAGAGAATAATCATAGTAAAATGTGACTCAAATTACTTATAAAAATTGGGGTCTCCAAATGTGGCGTGCGTGCATCTAAAACTTTTTTTTATACTGTTACAGAGTAAAGCCTTCTTAATTTACTCAATAACGACGACACGGCACAGGGAATCCTTTTGTATATATATGTGGTGTCCAAGAGGTAAGTATAGCTTCTTTTCTCGTTAAGAAACTATACTCTTCTCTAAGGCAGTTCGTGGGGAAATACAATAACAATAATAACTTATTAACACAAGAGAGA